TTTCAACGACCGGACCTCCGGGAGTGACTCTCTTATCTGCCACAATGGCTAACCGGTCAAACTTGTTAAGGTTTTCAAGTACCAGGTGGTTCTCGATGTTGGTGGCAAAACTCGTTTGGGCTTTTAAGTAACAGTGACTCTCTTATATGCCACAACGGCCGGATGGCCAAACTCGTTGGGACTTTGAATTACCAGATAGCTTTCTTTTTCACCGAAACGGCTAGATGACCAAACTTGTTAGGGCTTTCCAGTACCAGATGGTTCTCTTCCCTGCCACAATGGCTAAACGGCCAAACTCGTTAAGGTTTTCAAGTACCAGGTGGTTCTCGATGTTGATGGCAAAACTCGTTTGGGCTTTTAAGTACCAGCGACTCTCTTATGTGCCATAAAGGCCAGATGGCCAAACTCATTGGAACTAGAATTACCAGATAGCTTTCTTTTTCACCGAAACGGCTAGATGGCCAAACTCGTTGGGACTTTGAATTACCAGATAAGTTTCTTTTTCACCGCAACAGCCAGATGACCAAACTTGTTAGGGATGTCCAGTACCAGATGGCTTTCTTCTTTGCCACAATGGCTAAACGGCCAAACTCGTTAAGGTTTTCAAGTACCAGGTGGTTCTCGATGTTGATGGCAAAACTCGTTTGGGCTTTTAAGTACCAGCGACTCTTTTATCTGCCACAACGGCCAGATGGCCAGACTCGTTGGAACTTTGAATTACCAGATAACTTTCTTTATCACCGAAACGGCTAGATGGCCAAACTCGTTGGGACTTTGAATTACCAGATAACTTTCTTTTTCACCGCAACAGCTAGATGACCAAACTTGTTAGGGCTTTCCAGTACCAGATGGCTCTCTTCCCTGCCACAATGGCTAAACGGCCAAACTCGTTAAGGTTTTCAAGTACCAGGTGGTTCTCGATGTTGATGGCAAAATTCGTTTGGGCTTTAAGTAACAGTGACTCTCTTATCTGCCACAATGGCCAGTGGCCAAACTCGTTGGGACTTTGAATTACCAGATAACTTTCTTTTTACCGCAACGGCTAGATGACCAAACTTGTTAGGGCTTTCCAGTACCAGATGGCTCTCTTCCCTGCCACAATGGCTAAACGGCCAAACTCGTTAAAGTTTTCAAGTACCAGGTGGTTCTCGATGTTGGTGGCAAAATTCGTTTGGGCCTTTAAGTAACATGACCCTCTTATCTGCCACAATGGCCAGGTGGCCAAACTCGTGGGGACTTTTAATAACGAGATAATTTTCTTTTTTACCGCAACGGCTAGATGACCAAACTTGTTAGGGCTTTCCAGTACCACATGGTTCTCCTCCCTGCCACAATGGCTAAACGGCCGAACTCGTTAAGGTTTTCAAGTACCAGATGGTTCTCGATGTTGATGGCAAAACTCGTTTGGGCTTTTAAGTACCAGCGACTCTCTTATGTGCCATAAAGGCCAGATGGCCAAACTCATTGGAATCTAGAATTACCAGATAGCTTTCTTTTTCACCGAAACGGCTAGATGGCCAAACTCGTTGGGACTTTGAATTACCAGATAAGTTTCTTTTTCACCGCAACAGCCAGATGACCAAACTTGTTAGGGATGTCCAGTACCAGATGGCTTTCTTCTTTGCCACAATGCTAAACGGCCAAACTCGTTAAGGTTTTCAAGTACCAGATGGTTCTCGATGTTGATGGCAAAACTCGTTTGGGCTTTTAAGTACCAGCGACTCTTTTATCTGCCACAACGGCCAGATGGCCAGACTCGTTGGAACTTTGAATTACCAGATAACTTTCTTTTTCACCGAAACGGCTAGATGGCCAAACTCGTTGGGACTTTGAATTACCAGATAACTTTCTTTTTCACCGCAACAGCCAGATGACCAAACTTGTTAGGGATGTCCAGTACCAGATGGCTTTCTCTTTGCCACAATGGCTAAACGGCCAAACTCGTTAAGGTTTTCAAGTACCAGGTGGTTCTCGATGTTGATGGCAAAATTCGTTTGGGTTTTTAAGTAACAGTGACTCTCTTATCTGCCACAGCGGCAGATGGCCAAACTCGTTGGGACTTTGAATTACCAGATAACTTTCTTCTTCACCGCAACAGCTAGATGACCAAACTTGTTAGGGCATTCCAGTACCAGATGGCTCTCTTCCCTGCTACAATGGCTAAACGGCCAAACTCGTTAAGGTTTTCAAGTACCAGATGGTTCTCGACGTTGATGGCAAAACTCGTTTGGGCTTTTAAGTACCAGCTACTCTTTTATCTGCCACAACGGCCAGATGGCCAGACTCGTTGGAACTTTGAATTACCAGATAACTTTCTTTTTCACCGCAACGGCTAGATGACCAAACTTGTTAGGGATTCCAGTACCAGATGGCTCTCTTTGCCACAATGGCTAAACGGCCAAACTCGTTAAGGTTTTCAAGTACCAGGTGGTTCTCGATGTTGATGGCAAAACTCGTTTGGGCTTTTAAGTACCAGCGACTCTTTTATCTGCCACAACGGCCAGATGGCCAGCCTCGTTGGAACTTTGAATTACCAGATAACTTTCTTTATCACCGAAACGGCTAGATGGCCAAACTCGTTGGGACTTTGAATTACCAGATAACTTTCTTTTTCACCGCAATAGCCAGATGACCAAACTTGTTAGGGCTTTCCAGTACCAGATGGCTCTCTTCCCTGCCACAATGGCTAAACGGCCAAACTCGTTAAGGTTTTCAAGTACCAGGTGGTTCTCGATGTTGATGGCAAAATTCGTTTGGGTTTTTAAGTAACAGTGACTCTCTTATCTGCCACAGCGGTCAGATGGCCAAACTCGTTGGGACTTTGAATTACCAGATAACTTTCTTCTTCACCGCAACAGCTAGATGACCAAACTTGTTAGGGCATTCCAGTACCAGATGGCTCTCTTCCCTGCTACAATGGCTAAACGGCCAAACTCGTTAAAGTTTTCAAGTACCAGGTGGTTCTCGATGTTGGTGGCAAAATTCGTTTGGGCCTTTAAGTAACAGTGACCCTCTTATCTGCCACAATGGCCAGGTGGCCAAACTCGTGGGGACTTTTAATAACGAGATAATTTTCTTTTTTACCGCAACGGCTAGATGACCAAACTTGCTAGGGCTTTCCAGTACCACATGGTTCTCCTCCCTGCCACAATGGCTAAACGGCCGAACTCGTTAAGGTTTTCAAGTACCAGATGGTTCTCGATGTTGATGGCAAAACTCGTTTGGGCTTTTAAGTACCAGCGACTCTCTTATGTGCCATAAAGGCCAGATGGCCAAACTCATTGGAATCTAGAATTACCAGATAGCTTTCTTTTTCACCGAAACGGCTAGATGGCCAAACTCGTTGGGACTTTGAATTACCAGATAAGTTTCTTTTTCACCGCAACAGCCAGATGACCAAACTTGTTAGGGATGTCCAGTACCAGATGGCTTTCTTCTTTGCCACAATGGCTAAACGGCCAAACTCGTTAAGGTTTTCAAGTACCAGATGGTTCTCGAGTTGATGGCAAAACTCGTTTGGGCTTTTAAGTACCAGCTACTCTTTTATCTGCCACAACGGCCAGATGGCCAGACTCGTTGGAACTTTGAATTACCAGATAACTTTCTTTTTCACAAACGGCTAGATGGCCAAACTTGTTAGGGATTCCAGTACCAGATGGCTTTCTTCTTTGCCACAATGGCTAAACGGCCAAACCCGTTAAGGTTTTCAAGTACCAGGTGTTCTCGATGTTGATGGCAAAATCGTTTGGGCTTTTAAGTACCAGCGACTCTTTTATCTGCCACAACGGCCGATGGCAGACCTCGTTGGAACTTTGAATTACCAGATAACTTTTTTTTCACCGAAACGGCTAGATGGCCAAACTCGTTGGGACTTTGAATTACCAGATAACTTTCTTTTTCACCGCAACAGCCAGATGACCAAACTTTTAGGGCTGTCCAGTACCAGATGGCTCTCTTCCCTGCTACAATGGCCAAACGGCCAAACTCGTTAAGATTTTCAAGTACCAGATGGTTCTCGATGTTGATGGCAAAACTCGTTTGGGCTTTTAAGTACCGGCGACTCTTTTATCTGCCACAACGGTCAGATGGCCAGACTCGGTGGAACTTTGAATTACCAGATAACTTTGTTTTTCACCGAAACGGCTAGATAGCCAAACTCGTTGGACACTTTGAATTACCAGTAACTTTCTTCTTCACCGCAATAGCTAGATGACCAAACTTGTTAGGGCGTTCCAGTACCAGATGGCTCTCTTCCCTGCTACAATGGCTAAACGGCCAAACTCGTTAAGGTTTTCAAGTACCAGTGGTTCTCGATGTTGATGGCAAAATCGTTTGGGCTTTTAAGTACCAGCGACTCTTTTATTTGCCACGACGGCCAGATGGCCAGACTCGTTGGAACTTTGAATTACCAGATAACTTTCCTCTTCACCGCAGTACTAGATGACCAAACTTGTTAGGGCGTTCCAGTACCAGATGGCTCTCTTCCCTGCCACAATGGCTAAACGGCCAAACTCGTTAAGGTTTTCAAGTACCAGGTGGTTCTCGATGTTGATGGCAAAATTCGTTTGGGTTTTTAAGTAACAGTGACTCTCTTATCTGCCACAGCGGCAGATGGCCAAACTCGTTGGACTTTGAATAAAACACGTATTATGAATACTAACTGAAAATATCCGTTAATCTCCCATAATATTCCGTAACCCTTTGCACAGCCTGTGTGACAAACTATCTTCAGTCAATTGGCAATAGCATTCCACAGCTAGATACGTGTTGGTCCGTACACGGAGTTGGCAAGCTAGTCAATGGACGTCCGTGCGTCCGACGCTCTTAATTCTTGTAACGCTGGTTTATGAAGTGTGATATAGTTTTCTTCTTCTACTCTACTACGATGTTTTAGCCTGTTTGTAACAGAATTCTAAATAACGAAACAGTTTAGTGTCAGTCTTCGTGTTAACTGAAGACTGTCAAGAAAACCTTCATCAAGAGCACCTACTCGACTGCTTCTATAGGATTCGTAAAATGTACTTACACGCAAATCCATTCCTCAGCATTAAGATCATTTCGATCCTCCCGTTGCCGGCAGTATTCAACTTCGGCCTCCCAGTGGATTCCCTCAAACACTAGATAGATCATAGAACGAGCAAATATCGTCAGATTTACTATATGTAAAAGTAAAAGAAAAAAAGCGTAAGTTTATATTTCGCGATGAATGTTTGAATAAATAAGCAACAGCGTATATAAAATTAGCTGATGAAACAGTCATTTGTAATGTTCATCGAAAAGCATGGTACAATACCTAATACTAACTAATTAATATTGAACAAAACTTCGTAATCAAACTATTTTAGACATGCAGACATAGAGTTTCAACTAATAGAGTCCTAATTATTTGTGTGGTTCAGGCCAGCTTAATAGGGTCAGGACAGTTATTCCACAGTTGCCGAGTTAATTCGCTAGCTGAAGGTAATTGAGGTTACGCAATTAGCTCGGATGAGTTATTGCAGCCGAAGGCACGACTCGCATCGATACTTAGCACTAATAAGTAATTATCAATGAAGCTACGCTATCACTAAATTGGCACTCATCAATCTTTTTTGTTCGAAGCGTCGTGGGTCGATACGTTCTCTCGGTTTCTCTCTACCTGTACGTCGCCTAACAGATGCCCGTACGTGTTTCCGCTCCTCCATTCATGCGAACAAAACTATCGAGAAAATGTAATAGAGCCGATAAAATAATTAATCATTTGAAAAATACACGCGCGAAGAAGCTTCATGTGTGATTACGGTAGATTTGGTAGACGACAAATAGCAAATCCGCATTCGACAAAATGGGAACCTCACGACAGCCATATTCGTTTTCTTTTATTAAACACCCTCTATTATTATATTACTACTTCGTATAGCATCCTCACTAAAAATTTTGACCGCGAAGAGTTCTTGCTGGGCTCATCTGCGGTTTCTTCAACAAACGCGTGAAACTGCAAGATATTTTTTTATTTTCAAGGCCATTTTGCAACGTTCAAATTCGAACCAACGGTGGTCTTATATTCATAGTCGCCGTGGCAGCTAACCTGTAAGAGATGCCTGTTAGGCACCCAGAGCACGTTGAGTCTGTATACTTTCCATCAAAATTGGATTGTTAAGGTAGCCAACGATGTCTCGAAAGAACGAAACAGGCGTTGTTAGCAAGCGAATAGGACCACATGGCAGCACCTGATTTGTTTTCTCATAGGTAGTCTACCGCATCGAACTGAGTAATCAGTATGGCTATGAACTTTTTAATTTTTCAGAAGTGTAATTCTTTAAGCGTATTTAACTAGTCAGGGATTACACTCACATTTATCATAAGCGGGTCCATTATATTTGTTCTTGTGGTGTTTTAGAAATTTTAGCTCGAAATATATGAACTACTTACATGGCTTGATCATGCCATTGACGTCTTCGACCGAGCAGGTGGAAGGCATACAAACACCCATCCTGGCTTGGGTATAATAGAATGTTCCTGAACCCGTGAGCAGGTCGCGCAATGCCTAAAAAATAAAATGGGTAACCGTAAGTGTTGTTTTAGACAGGAATTAATCTGTACATTATCAACTCCTGTTGTCAAAATAGTGTGCCATATTGTTGTATGTCTGAATAACAAATAACACTTCTATGCTTCGGATACAGGACAAAGAAACACCGTTCGATCATGCCGACGACTACAATTCATTTCCCTAAATAACTTTTTAAAAAGCTTAGCTCTAAAATCGAGTTCGGTCGATTGAACACAATCTGTCTCAACAGACGCAATTTCTTCAAATGGCCTCTGAAAAAAAATTATCCTTAACCCTTAATATATGATGGAAGTCAAGTAGTTGAAATAAACCAACATTGTTTCTGAAGAAAAAACCATTTGTTGTATCCCACCTGTTGAAGCAACATCAGAAAAATCTTCTTTTCCTGACAATCTAATGCTATACAATAGCCGTTACGGTAATCTGCAGTCGTATTGACCAATATCGAGGTCTTTTGTATTAATAGTCCTATAGAATAGAAGGGCCACGACACGTAACTTCTTAAAAATCAAGGAAAAATCCTTCTATAATTTTTCTAACAACTAACTCTAGGTTTAGGAAAAAAAATCTTTGCGAAAACACAGTTCAATAACAGAACATGCTAGCCAATTTTTTGAGAAACTTCTTGTCGTTAAGTTACATCAATCGGTGTAATATCATAATAACAGCTAATGATTTTATAAGCGGTGGCACCAAACTTGTCGGTTTTTGCTGAAGTCTGAATTATTGGTAAAAATAGGTTTTTCATTATCTAGTTAGCGTTGCGTTACTTGACAAAAATTAATACGGGACAAAAACGGAAGATCCTTTATCTTGGTGCGTCGACAGCGGAATGTGGGACTGGTTTGAAAAAAATATGTTATATCGTAGTTCAATCTCCAGCTGAGATCCAAAGAGGGTTTTTTCAAGTCGATATTATCTATTTGCAGTTAAACTGAACGGGTGTGAATATTATACGCGTTCATTATAAAGATGCGCTGAAACAGTACAGCACAGTCCTGTAGACAATGTTCGCTATGTAAACCTGTTAATAATAAGATGTTTGCATCTTCAGAAGAACAGTATAAGTACTATAAAGTTTACACGTTTTATAAGAGGTCCGAGAACTTACAACATCAATAGGGTTGAAAAATATTGGAAACCGTTATTGAGAAACAAATTATTTATCCATGGGGTTTCAGTGTAGTTAGTGAATTGGTGGTATCCCCTAATAATCAATCTGTATGTGTACCACCTTTAAAAACTAACTGCATGCACCATTCGAAAGGCAGTACCATGTTTTTTTTTTGTACGTAAATAAAAACGCCTGTTCGTTGTAAAGCTGCACGTGGGAACCACACTTGCAAAAGGTACGCAGATAAACGAGGTGAAGGGTTTTCGTCGAAACGGCAACACTCAGTAATGGTTTGGTGTGGTATGTTTTACTATAGACATATATACATAAATGTTTTAATGTAAACACTATTCGACCTGATATATTACAGGTGATATATGGAAAGTATCAGAAGTCAGTCTCAAAGAGAACATACATATATGGTCATACGTAGTTGGTAAAAATAAACTAAAATAGTACTTTTAAACGACCAAGATAGCATGGTATATAGTATTCATTCATTTAGATATATATATATACAATTAATCAGCTCGTTAGCTAACAACTGTTTGTAGCCCAATTTCACAGGCGATATCCATAGGTACCATTTTTGTTGTACATCGTAAGCCATTAACCCATTTCAAAAAAGCACCACGGCATAAACAGATAGCCGTGCATAAAATATTCAAATGTACATGATTATCTTGGATAGTAATTACTTCTATCTATTAATTTTACTGCTCCGCGAAAACATGAAGCTTCTCGTTGCATAGAACTTAATGGGGTTGTGATTCACTAAAAAACAACGCTTGTGGTGATCGTACAAAAGAATCAAACGCGCTGTAGGTTTACGTAAATGCTTAAAGACCGCCCTGAGCTAAATCTTTATGTAGGGTACACTAATCCGTACGATAAGCGTTATTGTCCAAAATGGTGCCTATTTTCCTGGCAAAATTTGTGACGAGGGCAGCGTATTCGATACAATCTACAGAATATTTGGAAGAACCCAATGCAACACATCATGCAATCTAAACCTAATAAATTATTGCAATTTTATTGTAACTATTCAGTACCTTAACGTAACTGTCTAAACTATTTTACCACGTATCGACAACATAAATCAGCGTATAGGGTATCAGTCTTGATCCATCGAGAAGAACACCTAAATCCGACGACTGATCCGCCAATACATTACATAAACAATCCCCTAGACAGAGCTCTAGATAAAAAAAAAACAAAAAGAACATCCTTAATAACATAACTTCAGATCACACACAATGCTGCATAAACATATGCTACGCAACAGGGCAATTGAAATGGGGTAAAGTACGTAATATTACGTTTTTTAGCCCATTTCAAGACAATCGGGTCAGACCATAGAAACAATGCGAGCAAGTTTAAGGGACAAAAGGTGATTAGATCGCATACATGAACAGACGACCGGGTTGAACGAAGCTTAGCGTCTAATATGGTATTTGGTCGTACGTTTTTCGCTTAAAATTAGCCAACTTATCTAGATAATTTATTGAAATAAAAACTAGCTTTTTTAGCATCTCGCTTCGTGGTCTATAACAGTGGTAGATACCGCGAGACGCTGCAGAAAGAACTGTTAAAAGCTCGAACTGCACTTAGTCATACATATATATATGTATATATATATGTATATATATATATACGTATATATATATATATATATACGCAGGGTGATTAAAGAGTCCATTTCAGTTCATATACACTATGGCAGCTGGAAAAATTAAATCTAAATGACATTTTAGGGCTGTACATTCTTTGTATTTTCATTGTAAATTTTTGTCCAGTATATGCATTACCCAATATTACGATAGATTAGCGAAAATATAGATTGGGGTACAAAAGACCGTACGAAACAAGCAAGCGAATCTAAATAAGATTTCTACTATGTGTTAATAAAAGGTTGTTTTTTTTTTATTTAAAACGGTCATATATCGACTTTGAACAAAATTTTTACTAGAATTTTGGTAAGTGCAGTTACCAGTTCTGATGAGCAGGAAGCGGACTAAGTGGTTGAAACTACTATTAAACTGTTATTATAAGTGTGACCAATAGATACTTTATGTTAGTGCATGACGAAGGCTTTTCCTTGACGGAAGTATTTCTCGGCTATTTTATTCTATTACCGAATTTTCGGAGAAGATTGACATGTTCACGGGAGTGAAGTCTATTGGAACGATACGAGGTTTCGGCTCCGGCAACGGAGGTCGCGACTTCACCATACAATAACTGCCTCGGAAGAACTCCTTTTCGCCAAAATCGTCTAAAACACTAACCTAAATAACAGACGCAGTAAAGATTTAAATGTTCTGACGTGAATGGCGTGTTACATCCGCTGTTAACTTCAGTATATTCCCTCCTTTCCAAAACAGTGGCTGATTCTTAGGATGAAAATACTGAAAAGCTTTTTAAACAATAAGACTAGTTTATAGTCTCCGTTTCATCACACAAGTCGCTAGGCAGAAGCCGAGCCAATGACATGCAATACACGATAAATGTGATTGATATGGATAAAAAAAAAATGCATTTACTATATTTTCACTACGTCGACTTCGCGGAAACAACAGGTCTCTCAAACCGCTAGTATATTATAGCGCTTGAAACGGCTTTTTTTTCTGTAATAATTAGAATTCCGTTCTTCCAACCATCTTACCTTGAGACATTCATAGTAATTTCCAAACTCAGTAAGCGAACCCTCAATGAGGCCAGGGGCCAGCTTTGCGGACGCGTCGATCACTGTAAATTACAAGAAATTAAGTTGTTAACTTAGACACCGCTAATTCATCCTTATCGTGAGAACAGCATTCAGATACAGAATTCGCATCCTCAAATAGCCATCACGGCACCGTCCTTCATCATTCACATGCTGTCATTTGCCGTCATCCCGAGTCGTACGCGAGCGGCGTCAGTCACCCTTTCTCTATTTTTTTCTATAGTAAATACTTATTGATTAATCAATAAGGACCATGCATTTAGATGTCTACTGATCTGAAAACCCAGCGACCATCGCGCTGGGTTTATGCACTGTTGTCGTTTCCTCTATAGCTTACGACACCATATCATTTATTAATTAGGATATCTTCTCAACTTCTGGCAGAAATGCCAGAGCCAGCCTCACATTATCATAGCATTCGCCGTTGATAGTTAATAAATTTACATTTGCCAAAAGAGAAGTTAACAAACAAGTTTTACCAAATCTCACAATAATTAACACAGGTAGCAACAGTATGATAAACAAAGTTAAATAATCATGAAACTGCTTGATTATCTACGATCTTCTACGTGTGCTAACCTACGTATCTAATAAAAACTTAACGCCCTAATCAATCATATCCTGATACGATAAGCATCAACGGTTACGCCATATTACCCTACAAACACTGTTCTATTCGTACTACTACCGCCGTTAGCACAGAGCCGACAACGATCTTAGTTTCGGACTCTCAGTGTCGCAGGAAGCATTAAATATGCTGCGCTCACGATGAATCGCCACCTGTCAGGCGATTCGTTCGAAGGTATTGTTACCAGCTTCGCTTAGCAGTAGCGAAAAACGCGCAAGTTATTGTAGCAATAATAATGGCTCTGACCACAGAGCCGCAGAGAACAACAACAGAAATAACAATAACAGGAGCAAACGACACTGATATTCGCTGCTATCATGTTCTGGGATTACGTTGGATACCTATAGCTAATGGTTTGACTTGGCTTAGGGGTCATTGTGTGAGCTTTGTCATTTGTTCGAGCTCGGATGTTTGTTGGACGGGGCCGAAGGAAAGTTTGACATCTGTTTGGGCAGATAGCCCTCGGTCGTACATGTTTTTAAATAACCTATCAACAGTGTATTCAATTATTTGTTGTTGACTGTTCCTAAATCTACCTTAAGCGTCTCTTTGCAGCGACATTACAGCTGATAAATTAAATAGGTTAGCTATTATATATATAGTCATCCATCTTGAAGTAACAGTAAACGCCTGTGTGTTTCGTACGGTGTCTGCCATGCTGCAATACTTATGTGTGGTCGCATTTGTATTACCTAATTATCGATAATGTTTCAAGGAAGCACGATCTTATTTTAATTTACTTGTCATTAGTACACACTAATTGTTGAAGCACTGTGACATGTCGAGTCGGTAGCTTGCCCCGATTCATGATAGTCCCAAAAACAGCTTATAATTCTTCCGCATTTTCAGTTGTTCAAACCTAACGCCATGATATTTTTCGTATAGAGATCTCTTACCGATGATACGAGGAAACTGCCGATACTAGGCATTTTAAAAGTTCAAGAGATGCGAGCAGCAAGTCAATAACTTGCCATTATCAGCAAGGTATTGATTAGAACGGCAATCGTTCGGGGAACATCTGCGGTAAAAGAAAAAGCTATACAATTTGTCCTGCAGTTCAAATATTTACATGTTACTAAAAACTAAAATTATAATTATTCAAAATGCGTTTATATGGAGTTCCCCACACGCTATATCTACATAAATACGGTCTGACGGAACACTACAAAACCAATCAGATTCATTCTTGTGCTGCATATGAGCGCAATGCTTACCATCCACGTAGTCGCACATTTGGTTGCATGGAAACAGGGAACACTTAGAAATAGAAACATCATTGATAAAAACGACAGTAACAAAATCACAATGACAACTAATTAAATTGATTCATATTGGCGCACCATTGGGTTTCATTCGTCACGAGTGACAATGAGCGCATACACACGTCGCGCATCATAACTACGAAAACCTCTACCGATTCGTGCTATTTGCTGATATTCAGGCCGATTTTCCGTGATGAGTCTCATTGTATCTGGTGATTATTACCCGTGTAATCTTTTCATTCTTTGCCATCCACGTTCAACTACATGCTACCACCTATAAGGCCTATTTCGGTCTTTGTTCCTACGTTCATATATTGTTTATTGCTATAATTCTTTGGCGTGTCACGTGGGACAGGCACACATCCAACCCAATAGGACAGATTGCGAAGAAGGCCGCAAATTCGATAAATGTAACGAATTTCTACATGCGCAGATAGTACTTATTTGCAATAGATCCAGCTACCTATCCAATACTGACGTGTGCCGAAAGCATGTTGAAGCGCACGAAACAAGGTGTGTCAACAGCCAGGAGTATCTCCCGTGTCGTATTTGACCTCGCTAGCAGCGCTAATAAGGAGAGGAGAGCGTTAAGGATTTAATGATTCTAATCGCGTATCGGTCGCTTATTACCCATGCCGTGCCAAGGGTAAAAGCCAACGAATTATAGTGATAACCGGTAGTTGTTATCGGTTCCTTTAGTTAACATAAATAGACTATTTCTTCAGGTGACGTCGTTGATCCGATTATTGTAGTAAACTTCATTACTACGGTCGAAGGCATGAAACAATTACCGAGCTAACAACTCATCTTCGGGGCTGCGTCTCAGGGATGCGACGGAAGGCGCGCAGTCCCATTCCAAATGTTAGTGAAGTACGAACTTCGTCAAGGAAAAAGCATGAACGCGTCATGAACCGCTATTACGAAAAGGAATGGAAGTAACCGCAGAACGCACCAGTATTACCGGGAAAAAAAGCCGATAGAGAAACGGTAGAATTCGATATATATATTTCGAGCCTATAACGTATTGTCCTATTAATGTCAGGCGAAATCGTATCGCCTGTTCGTACGAGTAATCGTAACGTCGGTATTGTTTAATTAGAGGTTGAAAAAATATTTAATAATACGCAGTAAATAAGAAATGGAACAACACATGTATATATGATGCAATTCATCGACTGCTACGTTTTCGTAGCTACACTCACATCGATTGCTAATCTTAGGGCTATGTGGCAATCCATTAGTCTTTCTGCGCCAAAACTTTCATTTTGGCTTTACGTGCAGAGTGGCACGTACTGAAAAGTATGAGATATCCTAATCTACGAAAAAGAACGATGCGCTTTATCTACTGTTTGACGACGTAACACACGCGCGTGCTTGTCGTTGTGAGAACCGTTAGAGCAGGTCGATGGGAAAGATAAGGTCCTGTAATCTGTCATAGTGGTCGTCCACTGCACGTCACCGTAATGTAACTACTTTATGTGCACAATTCATTAGATAAGAATTTTAAAGGGACGTCAATATAGTAAAAGTATAATGAATCAACTTTTACAGGAAAATTGTACGGTACGTTTGAGCATTCGATGACGCTTCATGCCTAATTCCCACATATAAAGTTAAATCGTTTACAATAAAGTAATAAAACAAAAACTATAACCACCCTATTAATAGCATAATAGAAATGGTAGTTGGGGTTAGTGGGGTAATTTTAGCTAATGGCATGCATTATGTAGTTGCTACTATAATTTTGAAGTTCTTAGTTTTTATTAGTATTTGTTACAACAGTTATTAGTCTGCTTCCAAATCATTTGCCTTATATATGATTCTAATTGTCAAATAATCCAGTCAAACAAAATCATCAGGGTGGCTGTGCAGAGCTATCCCAATGTTCAGCCACAACATATAAGTAATAGAAAAAAATAACGCGAATCTGCTGTGAATGGCGGATCCTTATGGACCTATCACACTATGCAGCGGCATACAAACGAAAAGGGCCAAGGTATTGAAATCCAAGAGGCAACTGGCAATAGCCATAATATGTGAAAATTAGAGCTTCGTTTGTTTGTCAAAGTTACAGCTTTCGCCGCGTCACAGCTGATACGACCAAATGCTTACCATTTAATTAGGTCTAAAAACAGGAGACGTTGTCTATTTTACTAGCGGCACGGTCGAATATCATAGCGACAATGTTAACCCAAAGGCTTCGCCTACCGTTCTAGGCGTAGCTCCTATAGAATTAATGCCAGCGCTAAAGTTGTTACAATTTTTCAAGTTAGTTGAATTCATTCCAGTGTGATTTGGATATACTGGGATTATTTAGCTAAAAACAAGACACGGTATTTTTAAGAATATTCAGTTCATCTGTGTGATACTTAGGGCTTTTAATCATAGTCATACGAAGTTACTACCGATTCATACAAATTTGTGATTATTTGTTAATTATGAGTCTATTGGTACGAACGAAATGCCGCTGTATACCAAGCGCGTTAGGCACATTTCGCGCTAGGGCAACGACAAAAAAACTACGTACACCGTTAGCACTAATTATGGAATTAATAATAATAATCGTGCTTGTATTATACGTGTGCCACAACTGCCCTCAGCGAGCCGTAGCTTTCGGATATATCCAAAATTCTAATGGGTCTTCTCGTAAACAATAGGTACCGTTTATAACTTTGTAACTATTTCTGTGACCGTTATAAATCATCAGCGTGGATACGATTACGCGGCTTTATCATAGTGTTCTAGGTGTGCACACGACGCACAGCTTGTTATGTCCACTGCGCAGAAGACACCTCGACGTAGTTCGATGTGACCGAGGCTATTGTTTGTGCGGATCCATTACGTAAGCAATTACTTATTGCTCACGATTGACCGTCTGTAAGTGATTTTAAATGAATTTCTTTATTTTTTTGCGCTTTTCATCACAGGGAGCGTATCAGCAATGGGGAAACTTTGCTCCTTGTCACTCTACCACGGCTTGACGACCCTACGGATCGCTGTCAGTTTTACAGGCGTACATGGCTTTTTCAGCGTGCAATGCGTGTGTATAGAATGAAAAATGAAGATACTTAAGCTAGACTGTTTCTAGTCATCAATGGAATGCATCAACGACGAACAAATTCTTGCTGGCTGGATCCGCTTCGATAGAAGCCACCGTATGTACGTAGATAGGACACGGATCGAAAGGACAAACAAAAAATTCAGCTATACCTCAGTGTGTCGTGCATCGAGTAGCCGGATATATGCATTTCGAGGTAAAATATTACGTCGATAAAACAGTTTTCCCCTTTATATGATGCGATCGTTTTCTTGCTTTGTATGCGTTGGCTTATGGGATACGTGCTTTAAATTTACGTGTACGTCTGATTTATTACAAGAAATATGTGGAAAAATCCCGAAAACTACGCGCGACTCGCACTGCGAAGTTTGGTTGTGGGTGAAGAAAAAGAATATAGCAGGGACGTCTCATTAATAGTAATAATGGATTAACAACGCTAAAAGGTCATTTGGTTTCGGCGACCAAAAGCTGACATTTCAAATAAGTTTAATAGCATTGGAGTGGCTGAGATAGATCGGCATCTTGATAAGCATAAGATACACAGATGTGCTGCTCAACGAAATAAATGTTCGATCGGACTGCTTGATCAGCCAGCGTCCGATATTTCAACATCGGACAAGTGGTCGGTAAAACGGGGAATACGATAGCGAAGTGATTTTATAACCATAATTAGAAAATGGTTGATTTCAATTTAGGTTTGTGGCGAAACATAGAACGGTCAACACTCTTGGTAATATCTCGTCATCTGCGACGGCACAGATGACTTTGAAGGAACTATGCATATTTTAAATAATAAGGCTCATTAACGTAAAAACATCAATTTAAGTAATAGTAATAAAAGTTCAAAAAGGCTTGTAAAGACGTGACGCTTTTAACACGGTTCTTGTGACCCCATATGTAACAAACAAAAATATCTAAAACGTACCGGATCTTCTATTTACACTTGCCATAGTCGTGATTGTGCAAATAGCTTACGGCACCATGAAAGCTATCGTGTTTCATCGTGGCCTATTTTAATTCACCGCTATCGGTCCTAAAACGCCACTGCTCGGCCTTAACACATATATTTTAAAAGGATCCTGACATTTTTCTTGTAGCCTTTGTTGTTTTCTAGCGGTCACCGCTGTTAAGGTCTGCGCCATAGAAAATGTTCTAGGTAAAATTTGCTGGTTTGGTTTAACGCAACAAACCTTTTAGGAATCCCTAGGTAACCTAGAAACTGCAGCCGCCTGTTAAGGTCAGTCGAACATGTCTTTATAATGATGCAGCGGTCAGCTGTATGGTTTACGTTGTAAACCGGGTAGAACATTAATCTCACGCTGAAGCAACGCTTAATGCAAATGTCGGACATAAAACTGGAAATATTCATTTAGATTAAATCGTATCTAAAAGTCATTTACTTTTATCTTTTCGAGGTCTTCCTCGTTATCGCTTCTAGTACATAGATATAATATATCCTTTTTTCTGCATATGTTAACACTAAAATAGCAGCACTTAAACAACGTCCATGTGAAACAGAGTCTCTAGTGCTCTTCCATCATCCATCACATTTGGTTCTCATCAAAGCTTCTATATGTAAACGTTATTCGGTGGAATATCTATGTGTTCGATAAACAACGTCAATTTTATAGATTTTTTTTCTCTCCGTTTTATCGACTTTTTCGTCTTTTTTTTACGAATTAACTTGAAATGGGTCATTGTCGACGTTTTGGCGTGTCATTGTTATTTACAGTCTGCCGAACGCGACCATACATATCTAAACATCTTCACACAATAATCGTCAATAGCAGTCTCACCTCAACCGCTATCACCTTATCATAACTTAGCAGCTTTCAAGCAGTACAAATCTTCTAGCCCGAGGCCAACAGAAATTATTGGAATGACCGGATCGGCGACGATGATGCGAACTTTCTTACAACTTAAAACAGCTTTAGCATTATTTTTCTAGTTCCCGGTTGTTTCGGTGCCATCTGTTCTACCCAGTGGTCTCTATTCCCCAATGCTTTTGTTTAATTCGCCATTTACCGCTAGCCGTCAATTGTTTGCCCTGGGGTTTCCTTCGATTTGCTGGCCATGCTGCAGATGCCGTTGAGACCGCCTAATCTTCCGCTAATCTACTACTGTGTATTAATAGCTGCCACCTGCAGGAGTACATTTACTCCATAAGGACTCCAATATACTCAAACTGCAGTCTATTGTATTAATAGTAATATAGCGGAGTCGCAACTCATGTCATTTCAACAGCGTAGCCGGTGTTGCCTTTCTTTGTTGACCGATTCGTCTATCTCATAGACTACATTGCGGTTAGCTATAAAGAGTATGGATGGAAACCAGCAGCTGTAAATGGTAAGACGATTGTAAGCGCTGATTAATCTCTGTTATCTCAGCTTGATTTGCGGTACGCACAAGCACTGAACTATATGTCTCTTTTTACTGCTTTTTACTTTCTTTCATTTAGATAAATACATAGATAATAGGGGTTTGTAAGAGACTGTAATCAGGCATTGGCGATTTAGCGAATGTTTAAGTTAAGCACCCGTGTATCTTGTTGGTTCGCTGTCACGGCAATCTAATGATCTCCTAATGTCCAAGTTGGCTATTTACATACTATTTCGGTAACTACACAACAGCATCTTGGAAAGATCGTTTATCTCAAGGCTTTCCTTTGTGTTCGTTTTACTGATGTGAACTTTAGCTGGCCGGCTTATGGCTAATTTAATATCCACAGCCATCTGATCTAAGCAATCAATCAAAAAGTTTTTTTAAATGTACGCCAATCTTCCTCTTTGGTTTTTTTTTTCCGCTACCCACACACAAAAGGTAACATAGTCATTAATGTCCTTTATCATTATTGCAGTGATGATGGTATGTGGCGCTATTTGTTCACAATTAAACTGTAGTGGTGTAGGCGGGCATTTGACATTTACGGTTGTGAAAAGTATACGTTGACAACTCAAGGGAAAAGAAGTTTTAAGTGTCCTTCTTTTTGCCAGCTGGTCCGTTTAAAAATAGAAGCTAAGAACTACAGTTATTAAGCATCATGTCCCCGCGTCGGACATAAGCGCCAAGTCGATCACTGGCCCCTAAGATTGTTTTCAGCTCCACTTATCTACAAATTTCTATATGCCTACCAAGCCTCATCAGCATCTACGCATGTCAAATAATGCATCGACACCTCTATTTAACGTTGCGTGACACAGAGTATATTTAAGCTCTCGTACTGGCAGTTTTTCGGTATTGTGTAGGTGTTCAATAGGTGCTCTATCGAAGCCCGGGTACAATGAAACTAGACACAGCAAAATTATTACTCACGTTATCTTGCGCATAAAATTATTCAGAATGCGCGAAGAGTGATTAGTAATAGGCAAGTGGTCACAAAAGCAGTTATACGCAATGCTAATCTCTGCTAACATCTGCGATGAATGAATATTCCTTTTTGCGTTTGCCCCTGCTTCTAGACTCTTAGCCTATATTTGTCCGTTGTCATCTGCTTTTTTTTTCTATCGAAGGATTTCCGCTCAGCTACATCTTGTGGTCACGCGAACGTAAACAAGACAGCTAAGGTCTTTTCTTTTTCCCACATCACGAAAACGTCTGCTTCGTTCGTGAAAATTCGTGTCTCATTCGTTCGATGCAACATATATACATATGATAAACTGGTAAAAATAAATTGGAAAGTATGTGTCCTTAATTTAAACGCTTTATGTTAGGAGACAATACGCTTCTAATCTTTTAGCGAGATCACCATCATCTGCTGTATTTACAATAGTAATTAAAGGCGACCTTAACACAAAAATGGAAGGCTGACTTTATATATATGGCATAACACCGTGCTAAATCCACCCGGGTTTATTAGAGTGAACAACTTTGCATTTATCATGATTTTTCCTGTCTCTCAGATAGATCTCAACTGATTCTGTAAAAGTCACTCATGATTTTGCATTTGTTGGAAAAGTAATAGGTTCATTGTCTCCTGCATGGTGTAAATATATATATATATATATATATATATAGGAGATATGTATGTACTTTCGAATTGGCGGTTGGTCAGCGTTGTTAGCTTTTGGTGTACGTGTCACAATACTGATGAATTTTATTATAGATTTAGGAGCGAAAATGTTTTTACTTTAAAAAAAAAGAAATAAAAATGAGGCCCTGGTAACCGTTACAAGATGTATATATAATTTCCAAATATGTCTGATACGGAATTATACTAGTATGCTGTTCGATGAAGCAATGAGGGATTCATTGAAATACTCTATACATACATAACTACCCGATACTTACAAAGAATTAAGGAGCCAACGATTACTACTATATCTGCCGGTGGTCTCAGCAAAATTGATTATCTATATGAACTCATTAGCTTACTGCACGCGGTAATCACCGCATCGAGCTTTCACAAGGCCAGGTCATAGAGCGTAAAATACTACGCAGAGTAAAAATATGCACAAAGGAGTGCCAAGTTAACGCGCGACACCGACATTCCTGATTAAGGACACTAGGGAAGGGTTCATTCCTTCATTTGACATTGTTGGTCTTGTCCGGCAACGACAAAAAAGCAGGCGTCACGTGTCGCAAAAAAACAGAAGAAAAATAGACTTTGTGCTTATTACTAAGGGCGCGTTCTATAAAGATCATTGCAACTGAAGAGTCGTTTATCCCAGTACAAAATGGCTTTGTCCTTTCGCGGCCATTTATTAGAATTAATTCTGAAAAAATAGGGCTTTTAAAGCTGTGCACGTAGAACTTATCTATACTAGTTGATATAATAATAATTTGATTTTTTTGTTAATCGAAAACGCACATTTTTCTATAGTTTGTTGTGAAAATCACATCCGTAGTGCAACATCAAGAGGACTAAATCAAATTACGTCTATCTTTGGCAAGGTTGCCGGATTCACACAGACACTGAAAACATTGACAGTTGAGTAGAGTTCAGCTTCTCCAATACTAATAGCCAATCATTCACTTCCGCGTTGACAATTCACAAAACTATGTGGAAATTTATACTTAATTATCTAATGGAACAAATTCCGCTATCTTTAGCTAAGAGTCAATGCCCTATTGTGAGGTTAAATTTACTGTTTAGATACCTAGGTCGCTGGGTTCTATCTAAAATGGCTTAAGGATAAAGATCTATAAAACCACAGAGGCGTTTTACTCAGGTCTCCATTGAAAAACATAGGGAGATAGATGTTGTGTATGTTGAATAGCCTCTATCAACATGATTATTCTGTATAATGTCATAATTTCTCGTAGTCCATTAAACATTAAAAAATCATCAAAATCCCATTGTAGCTCTTTTATTCGTCCTTTGTCGCAGTGCAAAACCATGGGGTAGAATGATGCTTTGTGCCTAGCCTAGAAGTAAAGACTTCTGAAAGATATGTGGAGAAAGCAGTCCCTATGTTATTAGGTTATCGCTAACGGCACCCATTGAATAGACATATGCAATATCTTTCAGCGGTAGCAGAGAAACTAGGGTCGAGATTGCAGCAGATGACGTACACTATCTAGACCCTTAAAGGCACAATTTGTGACACAGGTCCGAACAGCTTATAGTTAATCTAAAGTGATTTCCCGATTTTTTTCTGTCGGTTACAAGACCTTGACCATCTTATCACATCAGTGGGCTAATGGCCAGGGTAAAGGGTGTTTATATATTGTCACGGCACTTTGTCTCTTTGTTGAATAGTGAAACTTTTGGAGCAGTCTGCATTGTCTCACACGCAAATGTCTATAAAAAAGGTGGCGATGGCAAAAATATTCACACGAGGAAAAGTTGTATAAGAATGTTGGAATGAAAATTTCTACACATTCTATTATTCGTGGTTGTTAACATCATAGCACTGTGTCTATAGGTGTGTAAATGTGTGTATGTGTCTATGCATTCATTCGTTAGCGTGTTTAGTAACTTACGCGTTTGTTCAATGCTGGGAGCAACTGGCAACAGTTGATGCTGTTTTTGAAATAACTTATCTTTTCTTGTGATATCTATTGCGTTAATTATTTTTGTTTCTATCATCTTTGATAATGCTCTGCTATAAATCTGATATAGATATACTGATAAACGTTCGGTAAACGAAATAATTTAGTATTCTATGTATTATATAAAGGAGTCTCGATTTGTTTATTGGATGTTGCGAAGTATCATATCGCTGGCGATTGAGAAATTATTAAAAATTCTTACTAACCACCTATCGGTCGTATCACTGCAGATGCATAATTCTATAGACCGTTTTTCACATAATACTTATCGTTTTCACTACGTACCGCATTTGGATATTCTCGAAACCCATACGTCTCTAACGATTATTATAGATACAAAAAAATGCAGACATGTATCCATTATAAAGATGACAATGTTCGTAAGCCAAAACTGCCGCTGGTCGTCGCTTCTATCCATAAGTAAAATACGTGCATAAATTACGCATTTTTATGGTTGTACACATCCGCCCGTCACCCGTGAACAAATCGCAGGGACTTGTTTCGGTGTTTCATCTTTGACCTTTTTTTAGGGCTTGAATTAATTAGTAATCACTCTTCCGATTGCTTTATAAGCATAGCCTTGTATCGGTGCGGCCTTTCAGACTTGCCTGGAATCTGTTTCTTAATACCACGTGGCTTTAACAAGACAGCTATTTGGAGCAGACGAAATCGTCCGCTTTGTTGACATCCCGCTAGTTGCATAACAGCAAGCGTAGCCCTATATCTGTTAGCAATAATGGCGTACAAATGAGTCAGTCTCTTATAATGTTACGGTCACCTATTTCAGAGTTGTAAACGCGCGTCTTCTATTACCAAGTTCTTGTTCGCACTAATAAAAAAAAAAAACAAACAAAAAAAAGAGAATCAGGCATGCATTGTCACATGGTTAAAGATTTTAATATTATCAAGGGCTTTTCTCTCGATCGCCTCCCCTAACGCAGAAACTATATTCAAGGCCGAACATTCGATAAGACACAGGCTACTATTTTGAGTTAGCTTGTTCCAGCAGGCACTTCTTCTTACGCTCACATTATGCACCTCAACTTCTTGCAATAAACAAAAACTGCTAACTACGATATATACTTACAAGGTTTCGCAAATGATTGGATTGCCGTACTGCATTCGTATCATATGGCTGTTGTTGTTTTTCCATAACGAGTACTGACTTGTGTGTTTTGGCGTCAATGTATTTATATGAACGGTTCGTTTTTACATACGGAGAAAATCTCCGCCGATGATTTATTAGCTGTGCCCTAGGTATTGATGGGAGAAGTTACCATCGGTTTGCTCTTTATCATGCTAAGCATAGTATTTCGGTAAATGCAAATCCAAATGACAAAGTTGTGCATACATAAAGATGATTTGAAGCGTATTCTTCTATAGACTTAGAGGATAGCAAACTTAAGTCGAACTCAATCGACCAATTACACTAATGCAAAACAGTTGTAGCACCTTTCAATTTTAGATATATCGAGTACGAAAAAAATGTTCATTTTGAGTTTCTATTTTTTGCGAGTATCATATCCGTTTGTCATGTAACGGATTATACCTGACCTGATGCGATACGTATTTGCTCATAGAAGACTACCGCAATCATTAAGAAAGAACAAAGGAAAAAGATGAATAACTTAGCTAAAATAAAAACAAAAATGGTACTTCTGCAAATAATTTACTGTGGGGGAAGGGACACATGAAAATGTCTATTTACGAATGAATTATCCACCCCTCGACCCGAAATTTGATCTAAGTTCATCGTCATCGTAAAGCTATACACGGATGCATATACAGATGGATATACAGCCGTTGCTTTTGGTAATGGTTGATTGATAGTCACCGATATTTTTATAAAGGGGATGGGGCTATAATCGATTACTACACTCGTGAATTCACCGAAAGAATGATGGAATGATTTAAGCAGGTCACGCACGGCAACTTTATGTACGAGTAAGTCGGTTTATGTTAGTAACCGAACAACGTAATATATATATATATATTAAAACAATGTAATACCAACTCAAGGAGTCAGCATGCGTGCATAGTCGTGGATTCACGCGTATAAATGAGCGACTGGAGTAGCGACCTGCCGTGAGTAATAACAATAATAATGATAGAGATTTTTGGAGAAAAAAACATTGGCTGTCTTACTATGTTATTGTATTACTTATATGTTACCTTAGATCCGATAGTAATACTCTTATCTACCCGACAGCACAGGTTTAAATTGGGTAAAATAAATACCTATGGTAAATAAATGCTTATACTCCGGGAAGCAATTATAGTTACTGAAGATAAAAAGGAAACAAAACGGTCCTATAGGAGATCTGTCTTATGTGACTAGTAGTTCCGGATCGTTGCTATGTAAAAATATAATGTACGATAGACACTAAATAGACAAGTCCATATATAAGCAAGGCACCATTTGAAACTTACTTGTTGACAAGTACGCGTCTCTATGAGTGGAATACATAGATAGGCGTGCTTCTTTCGACACATATATTTATCTATTCAAATAAACATATAACAAACAATAATATAAAACTCCCAAGGAGAATCATGTTACTCGTTCAAAATTATTGATTGGACGACAGCATCATGCAACAACCAGAATGGAACCATATCGACATAGTTTTGTGGAAATAGGTACAAAGTGATTCATTCTTATGTTAATCACTTGTGTGCTGGTGCTCTCCATAATGGTAGTATTGATAGGCAAGTCTGCAATGCCTTGAAGACGAATCGTACCGGCGACAATATTGAAAAAGAGAAAGCTTGTTCGAAGCTAGCCCAAGAGCGAACTACATAGCACAAAGCACTTAATTAAAAAAAAAAAAAAAAAAATTCATAATAAGCTTCCCAGGTTGAGTATGATATGATAAAAGAGAAATCAGTTACGAAATTGCCCCTAGTTTTTAACTGACTGATGACTGGAATAAGCATTGTGTTATATGAAATATATAAAGTATTTAAAAAAATATTTTAATTAGTTGAATTTGCTAACGCAAATAAAAATACAAAACAAAAGAATGTAGTAAATGTTCTTTTTCTATGAATATATAGGAAGTATATGTTTCTATTTCTACGAAATAAATAGCTTTTTTTTGTATAGCCATAGAACGTTTCGTCGTAAATCCAAGTCGAAATCTATCTTAAGAAACCATATATATATATATATATATATATATATATATATATATATACCTAAAATAGTCTAACTTGATAGAGCTCTTTAATAGTCGAAACGACGAGGTTCTTTTGCGACAGTCAAAGAGAAAGTTCCAGTTCATAGAAAATTAATCATCTGGGCTTTGGCTGAGCATATTGGAGATGATGTGTCGGGACGATGTTGAAGGCGCAATACAGTTAGACACCTACGAACTGGTGCAAGAGAGGTTTGTAATGATTGGATTAAGCAGTTAATAATTTGATTAATGGGTTTACGGATCTAGGGGGGATACTAGAAACAGCATAAAGAGAACGGTAACCAAGGGTAGAATTTCGTAAGGTGTGGATTGTTACTTGATTTTAAAGCTATAACCAGCCTTCCAAAACTATCACCTATTAAAAAATCAAAGAGGCTAAAAAGGATTTATAGATATGTATCAGAATTTTTATCTACATCAAAATGAAGAGATTTGAATTGAGAGAGGGTAAACGTTAGACGCAGACATTTGGAAACAGGGCGAGTAGTCAACAGGTCCAGGTAAAACAATAGACTCGTTGAACTATACTGAGCGGTTACCTGAGGCAAGACATGTTGTGATAAACAGTGATAGATGACTGGTAGTAATTGAAGAGAACTGCTATTGCTGCGGTAATATCGACCGAGCCTTAGGGAGAGCTAGTCATCGAGCAGCAAGGCGATGGTTAGACAGTGCTAGGATCGACTGTTTTCAACTTCGAATCAGCATTATGTTGCCGTCAACAAAAGCTCTGCCAGAAATCCTAAAACAATTAAGCTTAGAGCGGTGATTTGTCCAGCTCATTTGGAGGGCAACATACAGTGCCTGAGATGTTGACCTCGACAAACCCCGCAGCTAACTAACCGGTACACTAGAAACAGGTATCATCAGAACGGTTAGAAAACAAAATGGAATAATAATAGTACGGGGACGTCACGGTCCAGACAGCCGATTGCTTTCCTTACATCGAAAAACACCGTGATCGCCGCTGAGTGGTCGCTAGCGGCAAAGCACGTATTGATACCGTCGGACGCGGTCCGAAGGGCTGCTTAAGTGTAACAGCGTTCGCAAAAATCAAACTTAGCTAAGGAGAGAACAACAGATACATTCGAAATAAAGTTGAAGTTAAATGCGTTTATATCTTTCAGTGACAAAGGAGGTGCTAGAGGTAGATCGACAAGAAGTTAGGATTATCTCTTTCAATTTTTGTTGAAGGAACTATATTTACTAATTTTTTTTTTTTTTAGAACTAGCAGCTACTGTAACAACAGGTAAAGTAATTGCTAGTTCTAAATATAGCTGATAATGTACAAATAGATGGCAAAGCTCAGAGATGAAACTAGGAGAACTATTGAAAATCATATACTAAACTTAATACATGTGCAGAACAAATAACCTGCTGCTCCTTTATAATCGGCTTTACAACTGCCGCAACAATTCGAGCAGAACTTCAGATCGCTTTACGATATGAAAGGTCAGATAGAAAAAGCTAATAAAAAAGTGAAGGCATCAAAAGTTATATTGGGGTCCAGCAGATTTAAAGCAAGCTACCATTGTTCAGTTATGCGGCACATCTCCTAATCATTTCTATATCCATAGGAACATTTGATATCCTGTTTTGCCTATTTCTCATTGCAGTGAAACTGCTAACGTATAGCTAGCTGGTCGCTGATTCCATTTGTGACAAATTTATCGCAATTGGACGGATGGAGAATAGGCTTCAAGAGATCGTCATGAGTCGGAAAGGTTGTTGTGTAGTTGAATGAGAGTAAGATGCTTCAATATAACGACGAAGCTACTCAACAAGAGGTTGGCAAAGTGAACTGAATTTGTTGTCGAATGATTGCTTTTGATTTTAGAAGAGGACAAGGTGTTCTAACAGATAGTTCCTCATTATTGAGTTTCTTCGCAATGTTTTCAATCGCGTTTGTCTAGCAGACAATGTTAAATATCTTTACTTTGATAATAACTAATGAATAGTGTCAGAGCCAGCCGTTCTGTTGCAGTATGATACTCGATCAGTCAGTGTTTCCTATCTCAATAATTGCTTCAGTGGCCGTCTAGAGAGCTGAAAGTAGGCAAGATTCCTCACTTGAGAATAACTGCTCAAGGATACGTATACGTAGATGAATAAAATGTCCATGATAGATCCAAAAAGTGCCTAGGGCGATTAAGAGACCTCTACGATCAAAAACTTATGAAGCGAAAATCTCTTCCTGAATGTCCTATATATATATATATATATATATATATATATATATATATATATATATATATTATAGCTCTTTGAAACGCAAAAAAAACAGCAAAATTACGAATTGTGAAGAGTTTGGTGGCCTAGGATATCAAACGTTAGATGACTTTTTAAATAATGCGCATAATAAGGATGATCTATGAGGCTAGTTCACTTAAAATGTCTAAAGGAAAAATAACTAAAACCTTTGGTCAATGCTGTCCGTATTTAATTGTCTGTTTTTGAAAAATTTAACGTTGGCCATCTTCCCCCTAATTCTACGTCACGAGAAAGAAGTTCCTTCAAAAATGCCAGTGCAGAGCAACTTTAGCTTCAATTGATTCATGCTTTTATTTCAAAACGTTATTTATTATAGCTCCCATCGGCTCTAGACATGTTATTTTAACTCATTTTACAATTTGGACGCTTTAACTTATTGTTTATCAACTCATTTCTGGGACACTCGGTAGAAGACACAGACAGGCATGTCCTTGGAGTGCCCGTACATACATCTGTAAGTCAACCTATTTAAGATAGCAAGACATCAAATTAATTTTGTTCGAGGCTTATACGACGAATATATCATCTGTTCCGTAAAGAAACTAAATTAAACAATTTACGAGTCTCAGACTGTTCAGATCACAAATAGAATGAAGTCAGTGGGTACACTATAAAGCCAAGGATCTCTAATGCGGCTGACATATTTCATTGGAGATATTTTCACTTAGTTTTGACAAGCGGGCCCGCATTGAACTTTAGCTGAGGGTGTGAAGCATTAAATGAGCCCCAGTTCACCCTAGATAAATAACATACGATAAAAATTCATTCTCGCATTTTGGGAAAGCTTAGAAACGGCTTTGTTTGATTATAAAGGTGACAAAAACAAATTACAAACATTGTAATTATTTTCGAATGATCATAGTTTTCGTATTATAGGACCACATTCACATGGTTAAATGGTAATGCACAGTATTCGTCACGATCAGTTATCATGTCATAAAAAAGTCAACCAAGTTAATTTCATAGTGACGTGATCTATAAAGTCTAGATGGGTCTATAGCCACTGACTCGTAAGCATATTGCCACGCTGGCTAAATTTCAGCGTTGGCAAAGACGATTACCGGAAACTAATACAAGATGTTATCGACATTATTAATAGTAGTCTCCGCTTGCTAGCTTGCTCGTAAACCTTAAACCAACCCATTGTTCACGTTACGTTACGTAACTGGATTAAGTAACTGGAGTAAGTACGTAACTGAACAACGAGCACCCTGTTATCCAACGCAAAAACAATCCATCATATCAACAAGGATAACAATTAGCGCCAATTGTTTTGAATAAGTTAGATAATTTTATGATCCGTTAAGATCATAAAATTATCTAACTTATTGTTTAGCTAGACTAGAAGATGCAGTAGGGTATTATTATTGCTTCAAAGTTGCCATTCTACACATATGTAAGTGGCTGGTACCCGTACATCAATACCTAATATTAAAATTTGAATAAATTTACCTAGAAAATAAGCGACATAACCCTCATCTTTCGTCGATGCTAGTTGCGCCTAAAAATATAACAGTATGCATTTGATACACAGAGAACTAAATTAAAACGTTATTAGTGGGACTCGTGCTTTACCCTTTTTCACCCGATCCTCTAAATACCCTCCGATACACAAATGGCGGTAGCGCTGTACGAAACGTCGAGAACATGTTTTTTAGGCATTCTGTATGCTACGACATTGTTATATTTTTTCTAGAATACGTTTGCTATTCTTTGTTAGTTACATATAGTCGGATAATGGATTCAATATTGCAGCTGAACTATCGCCTGAAAATGTATGTGCCTTGGTTTTTGAACGCATGACCGCCCCGAGGAGCTGGTGAACAAGCAGGGAGATGCGTGAAACACACCCAGATATACGCATAGATGGCCAGGTTAACGTGAAAGACTAAGACAATATTTATAGTTAGTCATTGTTGATGGGGCACGAAAGCATTGCTGTTGTTGTCCATTGAATCTACTTAGCTATTCATCTCTGTAGCACCTACTTTATATTTTCCCGCCCAATTTAAACGTTGCGTGATTGTGCGAGTTATAGCACGGTTACAATCCAGAAGTTATAGTTTTTACAGTTACTTAGTTAGTTAATTAGCTACAATTTTCACTACATATTTGCGGCCATGAACTTGAACGGTTATTCGATCAAAGTACTTACATATTGAGGATTTATAAGTGAAACAATAGCTTGAATTATACGATATCGACAAATCGTGGCCGATATACTAACTACGACGATTCATGTAAGACATTTCGTAAATTGAATAAGAGAAAGCACTCAGCTTGACCATCGACCAAACGACCCAGCTGCTTCGAAGAATGCAATAGCGTGTCCCGCAACGTTGCGTAATAGAGATTGATTTCGATAAGGAAAATGTATCTGACAATACCTATCAGCTGGCTTATCATAAATCAGATATTAGCGAAACAGCAGCTTAGGTAACCAATCACAACAATATATGCTCTAATGACGGTCCTGACATCGAGATTTCAGGAAGAGAAAATGGTGAAGGGAACGATGGACAAGATCTATGATAAACTCGTATATCGTGCCATTCGTCTCAACAATGCGATACGATTCAAATGAAGAAACTATAGACGTAACGTAGTTCGAGATAGCAGATTGCCTAGAAACAAGATTTATTAGGTTTGTTTATGTGTGACACGTGACTAAAAATGCTTTAGATAAAATACGATATTCACTTTCTGGTGTGTTCGATAAAGTAACGCAAAGAATTCGTTCAAATGACTAGTTAATCCAAAGAGACGTTGACAACGATTCATTGTGGAAAACGAATGTTCTGGTCAGAGAAGATAACGGTAGATCATCTTAAGTCAGATCTTCATTGACACAGCGAATTACGGGTTCAGTTGTAATTTTCGCTATGAAATGAGTGCAAAGAGATAAGGTGCTTGATGTTCTTTTAAAGTATCCGCAGAGCAGCGATGTTGCTATTTCAAAGGGCACCTGATGGGAACTATCGAACGAGCTAGAACGAGAATTATCCAAAATTTGACCAGGTCCGACGCGCGTGTTGACGAGTTCCCGTTGTTTACCAGTCGATTAACATTAAAAGCTAGCCAGACATTTGTCCGAGCGAAAATGAAAACATTTTGAGATTCAGCTGATTTAGTTTATCTTGTAGATCGAATTTGATCAGTCTATGATATGATGGACAATCCGCCTACTTGTCTGTCTCGCCGGATTTTAGACCAGAGGAAATCTTGTTGTTATGCAGCTTCACACGACAGCGACTTCGGGGAGTATCGCAGGTCTGAACCTACCGTACAGTAGAGCTATTACGAATACAGCTACTTATTCCCTCAGCGTAGTTGCTTTGAAGGGCGAAATTCGGAATATAAAATATCCTCGATTTCATAGAAGTCACGTAAGAGCGAGCCTTAAATTAAAACTGCGCGAGCTGCGTTGTTCAATGGTAGGGAGTAGAATTAGATACTATCAATCTAAGTTTATTTTTAGTTTAGTCAATCTGTACGTTAAGTTATGTTAAGTTTCTGATTAGTCGAACCGAGAAAAAACGGTCTTTCGTATACACGCTTATCACTACTAAAAACCCCAGTTTAGAGATATTTGCTCAGTTTGTAATATTTGAGTCGGAAGGCCAGCTCAGTTACAATAATGATTACTGCAGGACCCAACAAGCTGATGTCCAGTGCAATCAAACAGAAACGGACTCTAAAAGAAGCATATGGTCGAAAAATATAGACCGACCAAACGTATTCTACGTAATTTCGACCGTATTAGGCTACATCATATGTGGGCAAACGGTCAGTCATGAAACAACATAGTTCATTTGCTAGTAGGTCTTCTAAAGTAGCAAAGGACAACCGTGGAACAGGTCCACTAGAACTGCGTTATTCTGCTCAACTGGAAATAAAGGCTACAGTGAAGAAAATTAAATGTATAAAGTGTCCTTAGGAAACAGACAAGAATGCACGACAAACATTTATCACTAGAGAGACCCATAACAAAACGTCAACTATTTCAGTGTGCTGACGCCAGTCAGTCCTCAGAAAGGCCCTGCTGCAGGTAGTGCATGCGTTATGACCTGCGGTCACGAAATGATATCATTTAACTTCTTATAGACTGCATAATTATCCTTTTTTTGTTACTGGCAATAGCAAATGTATTGACGTTAAGGTCTTGCTTTTTTTTGAAATTAATAGTTCCTAATAAAGCCAGGCTATTTGTGAAACAAAAAGCTATTCGCGCTCATGTATTGTCCACTAAAGGTGCTTACCCAAATAAATATAATATAGAAGTCGTATATATTTCTTCATAGCTCATTTTGTAGAAGTTGCGAGCGACTTAACGATATTAGAAGGTGTTACCTTCTTGGCCCAACGGTATTTAGCGCTAGAGACTCTCTTCCTTAAGTGACACTGTATAAACCGGTATTGTTTTAAGCTTTGATTTCTATAATCGCTTGCTTGAAATTCCATATCTATAACAAATTTGGTATAGAAATTAGCTGTTCGCTAAAAAAAATAGCTGAACGTTCTATTTATCGCACGGTCATCCTTATAAAGTAAATCTTCATCTCCATTTAATTCCTACAAGCAACATATAGGCCTATTTGATTTACTAGCGTAGGCGCTTGCAAGCAATAACTCTAATACGGCCAAACAGGATAATTCAATATTCAAAATAGGAGCTTTCCAATGTAACCTGAACATCGGAGTTGAGCTTGCTTTTATTTATTTTTAATTTTCTGTTAATATTTAAAAAAGCTGTATAGAATTCTTACTCCCAATCTCACTCTATAAATACGTCTATAGAATAAGTGTTGTCTAAATACATGAATTTGTGACCTGTGATCACTTACTTCGAAACACCTCGCGGTCCAGATTCCTCATCTTTGCGATGATCTTAAGGAATGAACCCATACAGCCTGCTGAAAGCTCCGCATTATTCGACGCCTCAAGCACGTGAGGTAAGGCTCGCTTCAACAATGAATTGACGACACTTTTGAAGCCCTCTTCAAGAGCTAAGTACTTTTTCTCAATGCTATGCTGGCTCCCATCTAAGGGTATGGCCGTATTTTCATCCTGGGCATCTTCGCTGACATCATTTTCGTATGTATGCTTTTCCGCAGCTAAAACCTGTTCGAAACCCCAGAGGCACGCGCTGCCTAACGACACCAACACAAGCCAGATGATTCGATCACGTACTTTCATTGCGCGAACGGGTGGAATCTGACCGACGCAGGTACAGTGTCGCTAAATAGAGACTGTTTCCACCGACTAATTAGGTCGTATCGGAGGTATTCAACTGGTGTACGCCAAAATCCAAGTGCAGTTAATAGTATTCACTCAAATTGCTGTAGATCCACTTGAAGTAAGTTGGCGTTAAAACGGCGAGTACCCGATCTTAGAGCTACGTAACTGATTAACCACTGTCACAAAAAGCGAATAGTATACATATTATAATGAATAGACATCACTATGCCTTCATATTAACATGACCGATTGCGTTCCGCCTGCTCCAATGATCTTGTTTTCTCGTGCTGGATTCCGCATGTGCTTCGCCGGAAATCTTCGAGTAATTGACAGGCGTGCTTCTACTATCACCATGTAGCAACAGGCTATTCAACGCAGCTTACCGCAACACTACTGCGCGCACAACGGCTAAACATATAGTAGAATATGTGTAGCAGTAATATAATGGTGACGTGCAGGAAAATTTTCTATCAGGCTCCAATTGTAGCTTACGTAGTGCATTCTCTTCTCCCGCGGAGATGGGGCACCCTTACGGGCAAGGGGGATCCGCGTGTGAGGGGAGGGAAGCCCAAGAAGAAGGAATAGCTGTTAAGAAAAGATGCTTAATTCTCGCACGAGAAGCAACGGCAGCACGCCGTTCCGCCGAAAGAGACAAACAGAACCGAGCGACAGTAGAGCTGCGCGGAACTGGACACGCGTAATTGAACGGTCTGCGGTCGGAGCACATGCGGATGTTGTTAACCGCCGCGCACTCCTGCTTTGCATGTAAGTGAACAGCCTTGTGGGGCGCTTTGGGGGCAGAAAGCATGGGACGCGGGGTAGCAGCGTAAGACAAGAAGCAACGGATATCAGATGAGCGTTCGACATTTATCAAAACAGCGGGTCCCGCATGATACGGTAATATGCGACTGGACTTCATTGACCAGAAAAATGTTCATCTTTATTCAGGTTAGGGATCAAAGGTGAAAATAATGAAGTTGAATAAGTTCGCAGATGTGGCGGTCTATCAACGTCGGCGCCGGTTTACCAGGTTGTCGAAATATGTTGAAGTATGGAATAGACTGTCCTTACTCGAAACCACGAACACATATATGTTGGTTTCGTTTGAAGAAATCAATAATATACCTAATTTAAAAAATATTTGGTATAAATCGCTGTATTGGTAATTACCGGAAATTATATCGTGCTAATAAAAAAAATAGATAATCATGAATATGTCTATTCGCCCAGTGGGTGTTTGTTTTTCTAAAAGCTAGTTTTCAGAAACGCTTATAGTTTGTTGACGTTGATAGTTTCAAAATGAAACCGTGCAGATTACTCGGGATCATTTCGATCATTCAGAGCTATCATACGTACGCAGTTCTTATTTCAGTTTTTACTAGATCATTCTGTTCTTGGATACTTATTGAAGGAGTTTCAGGCGGTCACGAATAATAACCCGTCGTTCCTTTGCGGTCTCTTAACCAATTTAACACTGTGTTGTTGTTTCTTAGTAGCGCGACGACGATAGGCGGGTATATGTGAACGCGCTGATGATGACGACTGATTTTGTTATTTTATATTGTTTTCGTATGACATTAGCGTGAAATATCAGTTCGACCCTAAGTAATGCCGTAAATTACTATGTCTCATAAATACTTAAATAACAAAGACGGCAGCTTGGAATCGTAATAGGCTATATGGTTACAACACAGGAGGTCGGCACATCGACATCGAATTAATAATTATTATTATTTTCATTGACGCAGTAATTAGAAAACATGTATCTAACTTTGTATGCGTATTGCGGAGGTTGGCCACCTCGCAACGTTCCAATATTTGTCTGTGAAATGTAACGAAGTTAAATGTTTACTTTGATTCGTAAAAACAGGCATTATATTTAAAACCACATGGGGTTATTATTTAGTTTTTTTTTTTAACCCATCATCACAATAAAATTATTGTTTTCTAAAAAGTAAATTGGTATTTCACTTTTATAGTGGATATTACGGTACAATTAAATGTATCATAACTAACCACATATCCATAATAGAATAATTTTGGCAACTCACTTCTGCCCAGTGCTGCTAGCGGCGTGTCTCCATATATGACAAGAAAAAAGTAAAATCTCTGTTTGAATGTGTCGTATGTATGAAAACAAAATGGCGCTAACCAAGTTAACGAAACATAGATCACTATACTGTAGTCTTTGAATCATAGAAAATAACCTGGCAGAAATTACTCCGTTTCAGGTTACATAGGGAGCATCTTGTCATGACTTGAGCTTTGACTTTGTTATACGATATTGCACAGATGAATGGATGGATGGATGGATGAATGGATGGATGGATGGATGGACAGTGCAAGCGGTACATGCTTTCCGTGATAGCTGTGCTCATGTAATGTCTTCAATACCATTGAACGTCGTAGGGTTCCATAAACTAATATATCTAAGTGATAAGGATCAAAAATGCTAATATGAAATAATGGCATTATGAGAGCGCTTGTTACACGCACTTGGTGCTGTAGTAAACAACTTACTTGCAGGTCAGCCTTACGTGCAGTTTTACAGATGGCTGTATATTTTCTTCTTTTAGGTATCTATGTAATTCTAATACGTCGGGAACAGAATCTGTCGTGTGTAAAGGATATGCAGTTATCTTTTTTAAAAAGCCGCCTGGTCACTCATCAGTTTAGAGATTTTCCTAAATCTATTTTCCAAATAACGTGGTAAAACTCGATATACCAATTGAAAACAATAAAAACAGAAAGCCCATTTTTTCCGTGGATGTTTAGCCCATCGGATAGTTTTCATATGGTGCAATTTTATAGATGCAAACGCGCGATAGGTAATATGCTGCAAATACAACAAATAGTTGATTATGACTGGACCTACTAACTGGAACCTTTCACAGGGTGCTTATATTTCTGCAGTTCGTTGCAATAGTTACTTAGAAGCCCAGTTTCTTTCCTATATAGGTTATTGTATATAATAACCCCTTCTTTCACGAATGTTAATGCCTCTCGCGTTCTTACTACTCGATCTTCATTAAACTGTTATCAATGATAGATGAAGATCTATCGAGATAAATAATCTGCTGTTCTGATTTTGCAAGAATAAACCCTTTTCGAACGGCGCGAGAAATACTTTATGCTCCTCAGTACCTAGTCCATTTATGATTCTAAGATCACCTTTTAAATACACCCTAAAATTTCTTGAAATTATTTTATATGCAAACATTTAACCATTTATCCGTCGTTTCCGGTATAACAGGATTGTTTTTCCATATGGAAATCTTTGTTTTTCCCCTATTATGTAGTAGAGCACCACATTCAGAAGTGCCACACATAATTTTTTCATTAGACGGCCACCAGTTCCATAGAACGATGCTTTGTATAGAATATTTGATATCCGCTAATATCATTGATATCTGTTCATTTTGAGCTCTATATTCGTATATATATATATATATATATATATATATATATATATATATATATATATAGGGTAGCGCGCCTGAATGGATCTTAATATTTCATCTAAACAGAAACAGAAATTTTAACGAATATTCTTTACTGTATACTAGAAGTGTCATTTCTGACGGTCACGACGGCTCAATGTAACCACCATTCACTGGCATTGTAATGAATTTTTGAACCCTTGAAATCTTTATCCTACCAATAATCGACCGACCTGCCTGATAGAAATCGTTTCTTCAATAGTCGCATAAAAACTAGCAATAACGTTGGCCGCCGATTGTGAATAAAAAAGGATGGTCCCGCTGACTCTGTTTCTAGCAAAGAGAAATTGCATAATAGCTAATATTCGCCTGAGTTTTGAAAAAACGTGCTGTTGTTGGCTATCACGAGTTTACTGTTTTCTTTTAGAGAGGATCGTTTTTCGTTTGGTACCACGAGTAGCGTGTGAACGCATATTACGACAAGCAACCCGCCAAGATCTTTCTCAATTTGAATGCATCATTCTGTAACTTGTACATAGACATCCGTGCAAAAACGATCGGAAGAAGTACGCCTACCTGAGAAGCTGCGCTTACTCAAAATAACATTACCTGCAAGATGCCATAATATAAATAATATATTATTGTGTATATAATGATAATACAAAGTGAGCACGATCAAGACGACAACTTTGATTCAAGAAACGGTAAATTTCACATGAAAAATTCTATCCAAGCATAAGTCTATTGTACTTCTAGCTATTATCGTTGTTATTTCCCGCTTATTGTCAATTTAAGATAGATATTCTGTCTTTTACGTCCTGCTTGTGGTCAACGTAGAAAAACGTAGCGAGCGTAAAAGTTTACAGACCTGAGTATCAGTAGCTAGCTTGGTGATTCCAATGGAAAAGCAAGCCTAAAACACTGTAGTTAAACGCTGCGTGTATGTTTTACCGGCTTTCAGCTTTTTCATCTTTGTGTCTTCCCGTTCATTTCGTTTAAACATTTCCGTCTAATCGGAAATACCTGCCGGGACACCTTGGTCATGGAACAGAAGCTAAAGTCGCGTTAAGTAGTCGTATGTTGATGAAGAGCTTGAAAATAGGACTCGGAGTAAATGAAGCGGAACACGCTCAAGTAGTCTAAACGTTGCGTGGATAATAGTCTAAGCAATTTGCAGTGAATGACAAACCTAACACGATGGAAAATAGCATAAAAAACATCGTTAAATATCGACCTCAGAGTGGAAAACCGGTTGAAAGGTTAGGGAAGACTGGAAAAAGAGCAGGACAAAATGTATAAAAAAGATACACTTAGAAAGATAAAATATGATTTAGTCGATTGAATGAAAACTCTCAAATTACGTCAAAAGGTCAGAAATATTGAAACGCAATCCGTGACCTCGTACAATTTACTGGACATCTTTATTTAGTCACACCTGCCATATAATACATACGGTATGGCTGCAGCAAAAGCGTAATTGACCAAAAGCCATTACGGTCTTTGGAAGTTTGATGGTGGCCCGTACTCGTTGAACATTTCGTCGAGGTGAACAGCGCAACAATAAAAAGACTAGCAGTGCAGTAGGACAGATCATAAAATAAACGTTTATGGTCCTGCAAAGATATTCGGTGGTTTCACTGTTGTACACAATCTATGTGGACAGCTACTGCCATGCCTATGGCGCTGATGTCGATGAATGAAGTGCATGCATGTAATCAATATTTATATGGGTGTTATGAAAACGGAATGCGTCCTAGCGCTGAAGTAATGCCCGCATCGCCGAACAAGAGATCGAAACCCATCCTGAATGAAAAAATAAAATATTTCAGGACTATCGCTTAGAAGCACGTAAAAGTTTGTCCACAAAGCTCAGCCATTGGCTAGTGGAAAAACTTTGAGAGACAACATGTGCCATGTGTAAGAAATCCAACAGACCTGACCCTCTAGCGACAGTAGATGATTTTGTCTCCCGCGGTTTTTCGGGGTTGCCAGAATTGGATTTTGTCGGAATGGGAATTTTCCTATACTGACATGTGCAAATCTTTCTGACACTTTTGTTT